ACAAAGGAGGAAGATAGGAGCAATTTTTTTTTCAGGAAAATAGCCTCCTTTTTCAAAGCGCTGGCTGTAGGGCAGTTTTTGCTTGGTTGTTTGGCAGATAAGCTCCTGCCAACTTCACAGACAGCAATTGTTTGCACAACATGACTATGGAGAGGTTGTAACAGGTCGCGTCTGGTCTGCTCCACAGTAAAGGTTACGACAGGACAACCACCTTTTATATTTAGCCACTGGCAGCAGTGAACATACTTTAACTTGGCAGAAGTTGTGTCAGATTATATGTAAGATACCAGGCCATCTGTAGACTGTGTGATTTTTGGAGGTGTCAGGGGCGCCAGAAATGCAGTGAATTTCCGTCTGAGCTTTATATGTTGACAACGTCTAATGGGTGGACTAACCCCCCACCCCACACATAAAAATATATTTGTACTGGATGAAATCATTGTTTTAGAATTATTGATGAAAGTAGAATGCAGAAATGTATTTTTGAAGCAACTCTCTAGCTGTATGGCACAACATCCATTAAAAACAATGCAGACAGCAGACGTATGTGGTAACCATGGAAACCAGTTGGACCAATGTGACATCAATAACATTGTCTTAAATACTTTAAGGATAAACCATTTAAGTGCGATGGAGGAACAAAGCCCCATTATCGGAGCAAGCTGAATAAATCATTATATTTCGAGGTTGGCCAAGATCAGCACGTGAGACGATCAAAGAAACAGTCGGCGATTCCCTCCAAGTTGTAATTGACATTTACTACCATGAACAACTTTTTTTCTCTTTTCACTGAATAATATTTGCATAACTTTGACAGACATAACAAAAGAAGCCCCAACTGTCATTGTTAGTGGCATGCTTGACCCTGTTTTGAAATGAGGTCTCCTGTGTATTAAGAAAATATTTTCTGAACATGGAGAACACAATATCTGATACTTTTGTTATGTGAGATCGTAAAAATCGCATCATTCAAGGCCACTAAGGGCCCTCATTCACCTATTCTCTGATGCATGCCTGGTTGAAGGCAGACTCTTCTTTTTCATATTTATTGATTTTTAGAACAAGGATTTTGGATTTAAGTCTACTAGTAAGTTATTTAAATCTATTTAAATGGAAGAAAGAGAACTTGGAATAACATGTTCTATTAAATCTGAATTTCTGTCGCTACTCTCCCCCAATTCCCATGAAATCTCACTTGTTATAATAAGAAGTAATTACGCTAAGTTTATTTCCTTTATGGGGATGTGTTTCGGATAAGAAGTCTTAACTCCACAACGTCAGGGTGTATAACATTGGTTGCTGCCACATGAAGAAAAAAAAAACTTCAAAATCACGGGGTGCCCAAGATGGGTTGCTGCACAAACCATATGACAAAGAATGCACACGGCAAATTGGATATCAGCCTCTTGTATGCCATCATCTGTCCCGATTTATCTCAAGTGGATGAAATAATTGCTACTTGTAGTGCACGCACTTTTTATCATCTGTGTGTGAGTTGTGTGTATGGCCCATGTGGAAAACTGCTTCAAAATAGGTTGATTGAGTGAGGATTTTTCTGTTGTGCTCTGATGAAAAAAATATAATATATATGGGCGGACAGACGCTAAACATAGATATCGAGGCAGGCTGGGCTGGAAATGGGATTACATTTTGGCTCTCAGCCATGCTGCAAATAGTTCAAAGGGTCTGCTGCATTTACAAGCTGACTAGAGTCGGCTTGGCGATGAAGAGTTCATTTGACGTCCCATTTTTATTGGTAAAATGCTGCACTGCAATTTTTTTCCTTATGGTATAGGACAGTTGTGGAGAACCTATACACTGGGTTACATCTGAGGGTAAACCAAGACCACTTAAAGTGATGATCGATTTATTGGTTGAATGATTGATTGATTTTGTTTATTGATGATTGGTTGTTTTGAGTGTATATAATGTAAAATTTATTTGGAAAGTTTGGAGAAAATGTTTGCTTAGCTTAATAATTGATAAATTTTTGGCAGAAGTCCCCCATTGGGATATTGTTGACATACTTATTATTATGTGAATAGTACCCATATACTGTGTGAGTTATTAATCAGTATAGAAGCAGTGCTTGACACTCAACTTTTTTCGATACTGGCCCACGATATGGGTAAATATTGCAAGGATGATTTGACACATGACATTTTACTTGGTTTTTGGGCCAGTGACCCCCTCGATTCAATGGCGCTAGGTTGGTTTTCAGTTGCCCAGGGCCAGTGGGCCACCCTTAATGTCAAGCCCTGAGAAGTAACAATAAGATGACTTCAAGCAAATAACCATATTTCTGAGAACTAAGTGACATACAGTAAAAACTTTTCCATTTACATTTTTTAGTTTTTTTTTTACTAAATCATATATATAAGAATATAATGGCAAAAAATTGTGTTTTTTGCCGAAGTAAGTCTTCAATTCGACGTAGTACCTGTCAGCATTTGGAGAGCCCATGGAATTCTGGGAAGGCAGAAAGGATTGAGAAATACCCAGTGTGCTGCGCCAACTCAATTTTATTTCTTGCGCTTCAACAGTGCCTCCTCCTCCTCCAGCTATAAGAAAAGCGGAATGCAGCAAATTATACCCGCACGATTTACTAGTCAATCAATACACTCGCTTTTCTTTCACTCTTTAACTGCACCAACTGACCGAAGATTTGTGGCATTAACGAGCTGATTTCCTAGCTGATTGTAGTGTGTCTGTTTTGTGAACTGACTGACCTTTGTGTACATTGATTAAGGGAGGGACAGGGAAGAGGGGTGAAGCTGCCTGAGGGGGAGATTTCCAAGTGCATTACCAGATAACCCTTGACTCAAAATAGACTAAGATTACAGAAGCTGTTCACAACAAGTGGGAAGAGTCAGGGGGAATTGTAGAATAGACGTAAAGTTTACCAAGACTGAGCAAAACAAGGCCCAAGGGTTGGAGGAAATTATTACAGTTGGTTTGTTTTATTTACTACATTGGGCAGCTGAACGTAGTATGACAACTTTTTAAGTGCTGAGGCAAGCAAGGAAAGAAAAAGTGAATTTATATATCCTGTTTATTGCATTTGAAGGTCCCTTACAACATATAAATGTCTATAAAGTAAAGATTATTTTTCTGTTGCTATATCTGGGGCAATCTTGACATTTTGCATGATGAAAGGTGAACCAAGTGTTTTCTTCACATAAATAGAATTGTATTACTATTTAAAGAATGTGGTTACCTAGATTAAAGTTACATGCTTCTGTTCCTTATTATGAAATTCATAGCAGGTTACCTTTCAGATACTTGTTTTTAATGAACAAGGCAAAGTTTGATTTCATTCCTGGATTTTATCAGGCTAGAGAAGAAAAGAAGTTTATTACCAGGAAGAAATCTAGAGCTCTATCAATACCGTATTGTTTATCGTCTACCCCCCCCCCCCCCCCCCCCTACTGTGATTTAACTTTGTATTCAACCAGTGCTGGAAGGTTTGCTCAAAAAGTGGAAGTTTGATAAATTGGTCTTTTGTGTCTCAACCAAGCTATAAATCGGCATGCATATTAATTGCCATACTTGGATAGACAGATGAAGCTGGTACATTAAGCTATATCACCACACAGTGGCCAACATATTTACTGAGAAAACGAAAATATTGTGCCATCTATTCAACAACTTCTGCTCCACAGATCATACACTAAAGATCCTAGACACCACATACGTTGATAGCCCAGTTGCAGACGACAACCATGATCCTTCGCTTCCCATCTGTCGCCGGAGTATTGATTTTACAGAGGCAAACGAATGTTCTGTCCGTCATTTGACAAGGATCAATGGCGAAGCACAGTGCTGCTGTCTGAATTAATCTCGCTACCAGCTTAAACTCCCATTATACTCAGAACTATGGAGACACTTTCATAAACTGTGTTTATACTGGTTACAGAACCAAACCGTTTTAGGTCCTTAATGGGTCAACATCTCAGTAACCAAATTGATTTGCTAGTATGAATATATCTATAGATGTCCATTCAGTATATGGTATGATAGACACACAGCTACATTCACTGCTGAACCCTGGTGAATGTTGATGGGGTTTTCTACATGTTCCTTCGAACTTGATAACATTAGAAATTGTTTTTAAAAGATTTGAATATAAACAAGTTTTTATTCTACATATGTGCCATGATGTTTTGACCCTTCATCTAAGGGCCTTGATCGCCCCCCCCCCCCCCACCCCCACTGTAATATCAACATCAACACCTTTGAGATCAGATTTTGAATTAAACATGTTATCTAGGGCCTTCATGTATGTAACTTTCTAGAAACATACTAGAAAAGCATTTGGAATTTCTTTTTAGTGACTATTCAGTTTTCCTCAATCTTTGAACTAATTTGCTCAGTTCCTCCAGTGAAAGTACTGCTTCGCCATTCCGTCTGCAAATGGATGGAACATTATATTGTGGTTAATATAATATGTAATTAATAAGCATGTTTATCATGTTCAGACACTTATGGACCTAGACAGGTTGAAAACTAATCACAGGGCCAGTACAATGGACAAGGGTTGTTTTAGCCTATGGCACTGTCTCTAGTATATGTTAGATGTAGCCTGTTTTAACCTAAGGCACTGTCTCTTGGAAATAAGGTTGTTTTAGCATAGTAAGGTAACGTCTGTGAGCCATAGGGCGCATTCCCATAGATTTAAGATCGATCTATCCCCGTGGGGAGTCTCACTAGATTACTGTCAGATAATCCGACTTAAATGTCCGTCCCGCTTACTAGAAGCTGTAAGGGGGTACTTTCATGCCTGCTCGGCTGACAGCTATTTAGCGTGAACCCCCAGGGAGTTAGGTCGATCTAGTTGGATCGATCTAATCTCTGGGAATGGGGTCATAGTTTTTCTAGTGTAAGGTGACATCTGTAGGACAGGTTTTTGAAATAAATTTCTATACAAACTAGGAAAAATTCTGTTGTATATAGGTTGATTAAATTTCATGCCTATATTTTTTTTTTTTTTTTCTCAACAGGGGTTGTCCGAGGAGAAAGAGGCCAAAAAGACAAAGTATGATGAAGAAATTGTCAGCCCAAGCCAGGAGGTTGGTCTGTCATCATCGTGGGCAGATGTCCGCCATCCTGGACACATGTCTGCATTCAGGCCATGGTCCCCCAATGTTCTGAACCTGTTAAAAGAGGGAAAGGGACTGCCTGCTCCACCAGCACTGATGAGGGAGAGGTAAGCTTTTAAGAACATAAGTGTCAAAAACTTTCATTCTCTCTCTCTCTGTCTCTCTCTCTCTCTCTCTCTCTCTCTCTCTCTCTCTCGAGCAGTTATGTCTTTTTCAAGTTTGTCCATGTGTATCCTTGAATACATCTGAGTAACTCCATACACATGTTCACATGATATTTTTTTGCGCACAAACATGTAAAACTACCAGTCAATACTGAAAAGGAGGATATTAACATAATTGAAACCAGGGAACTTGCGTGTTCTTAATCACAGGATATAAATTGAAAAGGTTATACAAGGATATGGGGAGCAGGACTCATCCATGTTGCATTAAATGGCCTAGGCAGGACTCTGACAATAAAAAGGACAAGGAAATCACAGAATGAGGCATTGCAGCATGAATGGATAATGATGTTTGGCTAATGGCCCCCTATGTACTTTATAGCACAGGAGACGTTATGCACAACCATAGCACAGACAGAACATTGACACTACTTTAGTGTGTCTCTTTGTGTATTATAAAAGTACTGGAGGCGATGTACTGTTAAAGTATTGGAGGTATTTTGTTACAGGTGTACATGTAGAATGTTGACACTGCTGTCACGACTCCTTGTGTACTGTTATGTGCTTAGAAATTTCCAAATTATAAAATGATTGGAAGAAACTGTTTAAAATTTGCAGGTAATTACTGTGTTTAAAAAAAAGGGAGGAAAATTGTTTCATTTGGTACTGGCTGTGCTTTTTTATCAAAATGTTTTGCCTTGTCAATATTCCTGCCTCTCTAGACTGTTTGCCCATGACATTTCAATTACTGTTGTATAACTCTCGTTTAAGATAAGGAGTCTGTATTTATTATGTCTTTAGACTCATTGTTTTGACTGAAGTTGGCATCTTGGAACACAGATTACATGATGCCCCGAAGAATGTGTTGTTCTGCTTTCAGACAATTTTGTCTGATTTTCTAGATGGCAAGAAAAACCACTGAATCCTTGTCTTTACATTCTGCTGAGTTCAATGACTTCTTCGTATTGTTAAAAGAGGCTCATGTCTGTTTGATGTATGTGGGAAATGTGAAGGTGAAAAATCAATGTTTGCTGTTTGTTATTTTGGTTCAGGCAGTGATGTGGTTTTTTTCCAGCATGCAAAGTTATATTTGGTTTAGGACAAAAAAAATAAATAAAATGTGTGAACATGTGCAGCAATATATCATTGATTTGGTTGAAAATACGGATTTGATTAAAATCAGGGAAGGGTATGTTGAACTTGTATGTTTGAAATTAATAAATGTTTTCGGTTTGAAAGAAAGAAGCTTATATTTAACCAAACCCATTTTCAGCATTTATGCTCAAGCTTACATACTGCCTTTTATTTTTTAAATTATTTTTGCAAATAAGTATCAATTTTGTTTTTGCGCCTTTCAGTGGAGTGAGGGCTGCGCTGCCATCTTATCTCCACACGGGGCCACCAATATTGCTGAACCCAGAGAGAGTGGTGCCACACTACCAGTCGAGCAGGTGAGGAGGATAATTAATGTGTCGTGTCTGAACCACATAGTGTAATAAGATTTACATTTAAGTCATGCTGCTATATGCAAACACAGTATGTCTAGGAATTTGATGCCGTCTGTTTTTGGCTGCAATGAAGTTTTAGTTGTATTACCCTCTCTTCTTAATGGAAAATATATTTGATTTTTTGTTCATTGTGTCATCAGTGATACCGCCAGATTTGCTGTCTTGTGCAAATAACAAGACTGTTGAAAAATGAGCAAGTGATGAGAATTTTCATTTACTGTCTAGTTGAAGAAGATATGAATTTGAAAAAGTGCACTGGCATTTTTTGAGCAATGCATGATAAATAAGTAAATAAAAAAACTGCATTTTCCTGTGGAAAGGGCCATATAGTAGGTTTACCCAATTAACATTAAAAATGCATTTAAAAAAACTTGAAACCTACTGATGGGGCAAAACTCCTTTAAGATTCCTTAATATCTGATCAGGTATGAGCCCCACTTTGCCCCCAATGTGTCCTTGGCACCCCTGGCCAAGAAAAAGGAAGACGAAGAGGGGGAAGAAAAACTGGTGAAAGAGGAAGAAAAAGATGGAGATCTGGCCCTGTCAACAACAGATACTGATGACTCAGCAGTTTCAGGTGAGTAGTACAGGAACTGTGATTGATTTTATGAATTATTTTTTATAACTCAGTGTTGTGACAAAAAGGTTAAAATGCAGACTCCCAGTAGTGAATAGGTGTCGGTTTAAGTTACATTTTTTTTTAACCATTTTCAGTTTTTTCATGTATTATCTTTTAACTTCTTGTTGGGGGGTTTGGAGATGCAAAGTAACATATATTATTATTTAAAAAGAAACAAAGAAATGTCCCACTATGTGAATCTGTGAATAAAATTCAAAAATGAAGATCATGATAATTCATTTTGAAAAATTAACCCCAAAAGGTTAGTTTTACCTAATTTTATGAAACATCATCATTTTAGGCATAATTAGCTATAATCCGAACAGTAAAATTGGGGACCAATTAAACATTCAATTATTAATATTTCAATAAAAAGACTACTTTATCTTCACAAATAGAGCCATCAACCCCAACAGAGACTGGGGATAGGCGAGTGACCACAATGGAAACATTTGAGAGCTCTTTAGAGAGGGAGGTAGAAATGATGAAGAAGGCGCTGGATGGGGAAGTCACCAATAAAGAAAAGTATTTAGAAGAGTTTGAGGAGATACATAAAAAGATGGAGACTGATTTTAGTTCTGCATTGGAGAGCAAAAAGAGACTTCAACAGGTAACTTATTTTATCACACAGTTTTAAATGTTTAATATATAAAAAAAGGAAAACCATAGGATAACAATTACTTGGTTTCCCAAAATCAACCCTGTTTCCCAAAAACTAATCATTTATATGGTCTTTCATTTGGTTTGAGGCTTACACATGACTAATTACACCAAAAATGACCAAAAAAAGCCTTAGAAATCTAAGTTCTTCTGTACTGAACACTACATTATACTTAGGCTCTATTCCCATAGATTTTAGATCGATCTATCCCCACGGGGAGTCTCACTAGATTACTTTCAGATAATCCGACTTAAATGTCCGTCCCGCCTACTACAAGCTGTAAGGGGGTAATTAACTTTCGTGTCAGCCCGGCTGACAGCTATTTAGCGCGAACCCCCAGGGAGTTAGGTCGATCTAAAGTAGGTCGATCTAATCTATGGAAATGGGGTGTAAGAGTGCATTCAGAACAGATGATCCGTGGACTTACTGATCCGCCTTCTAAATATGGCTGACCCCACTTAAAAAGCCACTCATTTCCTGATGGTCTCCCCGCCTCCACACTTGCCATTAAATGGATTAAATCTCAGCTCTGAGATTGAATTGGTAGGACCCTGCAGCGACAGCACGCGTAGAGAATCATTTGTTCTGAATATGCTCTTAGACTACTTTAAAGCTTACAATGGGTGTTATTTTCTTGAAAATTACAACCCTTTTTTCTTCAGCCACCAAGATATAACAAATTCAAAATCATGGACAAATTACAAACTTTCTCATTTTTCAGCCATTCTTGAGACTAGTGAACAGTAAAACTAACATAGGTGAAATTAGCAGTTGGAAAATGAAAAATTGGGTTTATACTATAAATTATAGGTCATAGTTTTCCTGTGTGATAAAGGTGATAATTAGTTTCCAAGAAAATTCCTTTCTTTTCTCTCTCTTTAAGGGTGTAACATGCATATTGCAAGTCTTTAGCCCACAGGTAAAAATGAATATGACGTCAAAGACATATTTCCAACAAATTCTAGTTAGTTGTTTTGCAGAAAAGAAAAAGGAAATGTGTGATTGAATGTGCAACCTCTACGTCATGCTACTGTAAATCCCCTTTTTGTCTCCAACATTAAATTGCTGAAAAAATCATCAGTTTGTAAAGTACCACATTTTTGACCAATTGGGTAGAGGGTGGGGAGTGGTTTCACTACATTTGCCAAGTTAATCATCGCTAACTTTAAATCTAATTAAGAGTGTTGCCAATATTTTTCAATTGTAATTTGCATTGGTTTTGGTTGAATGGCAAAAAAATGTAGCCAAATTGAATTTTTGCTCTGAATTATTGACCCATTATGACATGGATATTTGTAACGTTGGTTTTGACGTGATCATAAGCTGCTTATGCATGTCACAAATCTCAAATATTGTGTATATGGCAGTAATTGAAAAAGATAAAAGTAAAACCTCCTGAAATATATTTTGTCCATTTAAGGAGCTGGAATTCCTGAGACTGTCCAACAAACAAAAACTCCGAGAATTGTCTGCAGCGAAGAAAAGCCTGCACAAAGAGCTGCAAGCAACTCAAGAGGAGCTTGCTAAAGCATGGGAAATGGCTAAAGCTCGAGAAGAAGAACTCCAACAAGAGATCAGCTTTTTGAGACAGCAGCAACAAGAAAATTTTGATCCATCCAAGGTATATAAATGATCATATATATATATATATATATAGAGAGAGAGAGAGAGAGAGAGAGAGAGAGAGAGAGAGAGAGAGAGAGAGGGTGGTGGTTAGATATTTAGAAAAACCTATATCTGGGCTGAAATTATAAGTTTAAAAAATAAAATATTTTCTTATTTAACTGAAACAGAGCTGCTTATGAAACTGAAATGTATGACAAAAAAGGAAGGCAAGTCCCATTTTCCATTGTCTGACTATAAAGTTGGCTAGCTCTCCACAGTATCGACTTCTTTGATACACTTATCTAGGCAAAACATATTCCTGGAATCTTAACTTGTGTAGAATTCCAAGAAATCCTGTTTGTTCTGAGGCAGACAGCAGCTGTGAAGTAAAACCCCTTGATAACCAGTAAACATAGCATTAGGTGTCTAATGCAGTTGTCATTTTTATTAGGTTTTGTTACTAGCTCATGACTGATATAAGAAACATTGGCTTAGGAAAGAAATATGTTTCATTGTATGTCATTATGCTGCAATGTATAGATAGAGTTATATGGCATTTTTTTCTTATTTTTGGAGAGTTTTTCCAAATTTTTGAACCCAGTTTTGATTAAGTTGGTAGTCTAATAATGCATTTTTGGCTCAAATCGGTTTGAAGTTAGGCTCTGTTTGAATGGACCCTTCATGTCCCCCCACATCCTACTGCATACAGATGTCACAGAAATTAAGAAAAATATAGGAAAGTTTATCAAGACTTTCATTGTACCTGGAGCAATGCGCTCTGTTATTAAGGTTAAATAGCAAGCGAGGAAGGGTCGCTGTTTTCCTCCTGAACCCGGAAAGATCAAAACATACCACTTGCCAACCAAAATAGCACAGTAAATCTGTGTACAAATAAACACATGTGTTGGTGTGACGTAAAAGGTCTGTGGCACTTATGCCCTGCGCCAGACACAACTGCGGTTAAGATGGCGGCATTTGTTTTGACAAGTGGGGCACATTGCAAAACATGTGGTCCCCAGGCGGAGTGGACCGAGTTAGTCAGCTAAAAGGGCCAACCAGTGCTTTTTCCGAGAATCATATCTTTTATTGGATTAGAAGGGGTTATATAGGGTTTATATGTAGTTTTCACTTACAGAGATCTGGAGGCGGAATTTATCTTTGCAGTCTGATGGTCTTCCATTAATCTATTTGTTTTGTTAACTCTAGCAAGCTTTCTTGGCACTCTTTGTATTAAAAGCCCAGCTTAATGGAATGGTTCAGTTAACACATGAATCTGGAGGTGTTCCCACTGGCAAAATTTGAGACCGATTTTCACATTATTATTATTATTATATGTATATATTTTTTTATTGTTATCTTGCTTATTATTGTACCACCAGCGTTAGCGCTGGCGGTACACATGGTTTCGGTCTCGTCCGGATCGTTCCGCCGGCTCCGCCGGCTCCGCCGGTTCCGCCGGCTCCGCCGGACGGCTACCGTTACCGCTTCTCCTCCTAGACGGTAAGGCCCCCCATACCCATCTCATGGATTTAGGTCACCTATAATCTCAACTCGTTCCACGTAAAATTTGGGCTTTGTCGGTATTGGGGTCTGGGTGTGGCACTCATTGCAATGCACCCTTGTCTAAAAATGGCAAAATTAAATGCTAATTATCTACCCTACGGAAGGAGTTATGGGAAAAATTTCTATAGACGGCTTTCCAAAAGTCATATGTGTAGATTTCAAATATACCCTTGGATTTGACCTTTGACCTTTACTNGACCGACTACTTAACACACTGAAGGACATGTCACCCTTGTATATCCTTGGCATACATCTAGCCGTGTGTAGATGATGGTTAGCACAAGGGAGGTTTATTCAAAGTGGCCATGACCTTTGGGACTATATATACCAGCCCCTTCGTCTTCAATGCATACTGGTTCATGTACACTTGGGTGTTCATATGAAAAAGAGACTTAACTTCTGGGGCAAGTTCCAAGCTGAAGAAGAACATTAAGGAGTACGAGATCAGTGGGTCACCATCATTGAAGACCCCCTCCTCCCCCTTTGACATCAGGGATCATTGTGTTCATGAGTAATAATCAAGGTGCTACTATTATTATATGCTATATAACAGCTCCGTGCTGCCATCTATAGGAGAATATTATTGCACTTTGCCTGGTTCTTTATCTTTTCATCAAGGCCCTCTTCACATCAATGGGAACAGTTTTTTAAGCACTCCAGTTTGGGAGATTGACTTATTTGATAGCCTGGCCATTATGCGAAGGAGCCCTCTAAACGGAGCCCCCATGCTCATCACGACCAGTTAACAAAACTGATTTTGAATCATACATTGGGGGCTTGTAAAAGGGAGTAAAAACCCTCCTTGCATAATTACGATGTTAAGATTAGTCAAACGGGTGTGGTAAGGAAAAACTGTACCAGAAAACTGCGCGGTTTAATGTGAAAAGAGCCTCTATCACCAGAGCCCAAGGTTTAGCTTCATGTGTGTACATATTGAAGTGATTGGAACCTTTGTTCTGTTGTGTTTTGCACCATTGAAGTCCTAGACGAGGAAATATTTCAGTTTGCAAAATGAATGAAATATCACAGGGTAGAAAAAAAGCTCAGTTCAACACAGAGCAGAAGCTCACATGAATTAGTTACGAGTGCAGGTAGCTCTTTCTGTATATTGCTGTACAGTTCTCAAGGCATTATCCAGTTATCATAAAAACTGTTCAGACATTGAAGTGTTCTGGATGGCTTGCCTAAAATGGGGTTTGAATGTGGTGGGGTGAAAAGTTTACATCTCCAAGTACTGTTCACTATTGTAAAAACTCAAATTCAAATTTAATCAGAAGGCTGATTCTGTAAAATTGTTTTGTAAGGCACAGCTCTGAAAGATTTATTTTCAAAAGAGGAGAAAATTAAATTTCACATGATATTTTTTTTTTTTTTTTGTGAGTTATTCAAATTGATGAAATTTTGAATGTTGAATTATTGAATAAGTTGAGGTGATGCAAATTTATGAGTAAATGCCTTAATGTTTGAGACAACAAGCTTAGTACCTTTGTTGGTTTTAAATTAAGTGGCCATGCTAAAGTATTTGATATCTATACAAAAATTAGGTTGTCAGATAACTGTTGTTGTTTTATTTCCACAGAATAATCTATCCATTTTTAATGCAAAATTTATTTTCTGCATTTAGTAGATATTTGTTATCTAGGCTTTTTTCATCACATAAAGGTCATTTGTATGATACGTAAACACTGCCATTGTTAAACTTGTTACGTGGAATATGAACCCCTGAAATCGAGAATGTAATTCATTCTTGTATAAACTAAAAGTTGTCTTATTCGTGCTCTCTCTGAGTTTTGTCAGAGGTTTGCACTGTTTTAATGTGGTTACTGGTACTTTACTGCCACCTCAACCAGCGGGCGGTATCAGTCCACAGCGTGTACATACCTTGTACCCTTCAGTACCTTGCTTGACCATTGTTAAAATTGGTTAAAGCTAGCATATAGCAAGAGATCCTTCAGAGCATATTGATGCACTCAATACTCATTGTTAGGGCCAGTGGGTTAATGATGGCGCATGGTAGTGTAGGCACTGGGGCCAGTTTCAAATTAAAAAAATTTTTTTTTAAATTTATCAGTAACCCTTTGGCTTAAAAATAAGTCCAATGGGTCAAAATGGCCTCTAAAATTGGCCTTGAAGTTGAAACCGGTTTTTAGGGGTTAACATTGTTTTGTGATATAGGCCCTAGTGACCTAAAATGTCATGTTTCCCATGGTTGTCATGGCGATCTTGCCTGGGTTGGGTTGGGCAAGGACACAGTTTGTCTAATGGTTGAATGACCTTGGAACTTGACCTCTGAACTTTTCCCAAAGTTCCCGGTGAATGGAGTAGAACAACACTAAAGCAAACATGTGATGTGAAGGCTACACTCTGTGTGAAGACAATAAGAATAACAGATGAGATAATGCCTTGACCTAATTTTAACTAGGTCAAGGTCATACTGTGAGTGCTTTATAGTTCATATTGCACTATACCTGGTAACTAGTGTTTCAGTTAGGTGAAGCTGCAATTGTGTATGTATGTATTTACACAAGCATATATATATATGTATATTTGTGAATGATGCACTAAAGTTTGATCCATGTTTTTAAAATGAGCTTCTTTGGTCTTCTAAGATCCGTAAACAAGAGGATACACATGAGAGTTTGCCCAGTGTAAGTTCTCTTGAACCTTTAGGGTGTTCCAGACCTTGTTATGTTTTAAAGCCAGATTGTCTCCCGGTGAGATAAATTTGTTTGCCTGATAGTAAAAGTAAAGGATTTTCATAGTGTGTGAACAAGTGCAAAGATTGGGCAAATGTCTTTGTAGTTCTCAAGCATGGTAGTCTAGTCCAGTGCCCTGAAAAGAACATTTTAGGAACAGTTTATTTAGTGATATATATATATATATATATATATATATATATATATATATATATATATATATATATATATATATATATATATATATGTCAATATGCATATTGATATATATGTATATCAATGTATGCATGGTACATATGTTTATGTATATATGAATACTTAGATAATTTTTGCCCCAAGGGCCTACTAGTGGCTTACGTGTTTGGGAACACAGTGGCATTGTTTCACTGATTTTGTTGTGATATACCTCATCAAAATGTGTGTACGTGTCATTGTGATGTCACTAGGAGGTTCACAAAGCAGCTACCTGCACGAATTTAGCTTTCAAATACGGGTATAATGAATATTATTGTAATCATCAATATGTTATATTAACTTTGTACAGTATATTTAAATATATGTATATGTATAAGATATTTTAGTATAGCAAAATGTAATTGCCTTGGTATTTTTAACAGTATGTTATTTTTTTCTAGAAAGATTGTGAGAAAGAGCTGAATATGTGAGCTGAAGGTCTCAGCCTCTGATCTTATATTTTACCGTTGCCTAATTATAGGTCAGGCCTTCTGCCTCAAATTGCTTGGTTATTCATAATTATGCGGGTTGTTGCCCTGGATACAATTGTTAAGTAGGTCAAGGTCATACAAACTTAGTACTGTATATGCTGTTTATTTTATTTAATTAATTTTTGGGGGGAGGGTTTTGGAATGGCCTGCTTGTGTGCTGTTGGTATAATAAGGACATAAGGGCATAAATTTAAATGCGCAGGAAGCAATACATTTTTTTTTTCAAAATAGTATTTCATTTCATGGTTGACTGGTTTGAAAAATACTGAACATTGTGATCTCCACAGAAACTTACTTTTGAAATCAGAACAGTCTCAGTTATACAAGATGGCACTTATGTGTTCTAAGTATCCATGGGTGTGGTTGAGTAATATCTGTGACAAAACACAAGCACTGAAAAAAATTGGTAATATTTTGATTGTTATTGAACTGTGCATCCTTGTGTGTTAAAAATGCTATTATGATTACCTTTTCATACCGTAACTAAGAACAATTACTTCATGCCTTGTAAGAATTATCAGTGTTTTTTTCCCTTTGGTGCCAATGTATTTAATTTCCATTACCTCAAAAATAGATATGTTTTAATAGATATTAAGGGCAAAAATGGGTTTCCAGTGTAAAAATCCAAATGAGTAAAAACAGCAGGAATTTTCATTAGTTGTATAAGAAATATTTTAGTATGCACTTGGTGAAGTTTTAGAGATTTCTATTGTTATTGCAAAGTCCCCTAACTTGTGTAATTCAACAAAATATCGTTTATCGCTGCCTGCTGTCACCACCAAGCTTGAGTTGACATCAGTCTTGATGGAAAATGGAATGGAACATTTTGGCCAATGGCTAAGATTGTGAAGCATGGACAAAAAAAGTTCAACAATTAATATAAAATTGCATTTATAAAATTGCATGTAAAAGCTAAGAAAAGTCTAAAAAAATTCAACAGTTGTAAATGAAATAAATATTTTATTAAAAGGTGTCCTTATTGAAAAGATCTTGAGCACAGTTCGCTTTTAGGTTGAAAACATGGTTGTGTAGCAGGAAGTGATTCTGATATAAAGTAGATTGTCTCTAGTAAATATGCCAAATAATGGTGCTTTTGTACTGCAGCGCAGTAGATTACCTCAGCTTATATATGATATATGATGTATAATCAAGTGCAGGTATAGCTGCATAGGTCTTTGTTCTCCTGTTCTCCATAGCCAACCATTGAAAAACTAGAATAACAATTATTTGCATATTTCAAAAATATTACAATATTAGTTGTTCGCATGTGAATAAATGCATATGATGTTTTGCATTTCCATTTTTTTAATGCATTTGGCAAACAGTAATAGCAATTGCATTTTCTTATTGTTATTATCACTTTCAGATTGGCTTTTTTAAGTGCACATATGGTAACCTAGATATCTAATGAATGGTTGATGATTTTAATGTGATAATGAAGTACACTTTTAGATGTCCATATGATGTTTTAAATAATTTACTAAATACCGCAGGTGTAAGTCACTGGATACATATCGATATTGTTTTGATTTTTATCTTTTTTCTGTTTTTTGATTTTTAACCCTACTTCTGAAATGGCATGTCTGTTTGAATTGGAACCGCCTGTAAAATATCTTTTTGAATCTGCATTGATGATATTGTTATATTAATATAATTGTGTACAGTCAAGTAAATATTTTTCCCTGTATATTTTGTTTTTACATTATTATTATAGTTGCAGCAGAACTTTGTGTTAGTTTGAACACATTTTCTTTGTACTAGTTACTATAACAACTACATGGTGTTGATAAAGAAAGAATTCAAATGGTGCGATCTATGTTGAAAAGTATAAAAGTAAATAAATATCTTTAGTTGAACTTTGTGTTTGTTTTATACCCATCATCCACTGACTTTTTTTCAGTTGTGTAACATACTGCAGAGACCCCTGTCGGAGGGTATATGGTTGATCCTCTTATTATGTCGAAGCTACCCTCTACCAGGGCGACAGATTGATTTTCCACAGATATTCACAGATATGTCAATAGATAAATAGACAGTCATTTTGGTTCTCAGTTGATTCAGCAAAAAATGTCCACAATAATAACTGCGGCTCTGGTAGAGGGTATGCCGAAGCCATGCTTGTCTGCGCGTTCGGAAACGGGCTGGGGTTGAAAGTTATCAAAGTTTTCGGAGATTTTGCTCAAATTTGCCATTCTTTATAGTACTTACTTATGTACCCCAAACGACATAAGTTTTGTATAAACTCCAGCGGCACAATGTTATATTGATTTATATTGTTGATGATGTATAGATTGTAATCTTGCCGAGCTTTGAAAATGGTCCGCTTTTGTCATCATGAGTAGGCCTGTACATTATGTTTTTGGAAGTGTTCCTAAGTCATATTTTGAATATTTGAATATCCTGCAAAGGTATTTAACTTTCCTAATTCTGACCTTAAAAGCTTCAATCTCCCAAAAAAAGTACTAAATGTCGATGTTCGTTCCTGAAATGTCAGGAAGACGGGCGGTCAAATTGAATAATATCTCATTTGGAACTATTTTAATAAACAAAGATGTAACAGAGCATTGAATCCAAAAACATGAACGGATTGAGTGATGACTCATGTGTAGGAAAAACGCTTTATTCTTGAAAAATAATTAGACCTGGTGTAACGAAACTGAGGGTCCGTGTAACAGAAAGTCCGCCCTCCATATAGTTATAATGGTTGGGGTTAGTCTGACCTAAGTGGGTCAAAATCTAGGATGAGGCATATATGTACAAATGAATGAAAAGCGAAAACTCTGTTATGGGGGACTCTCTGTCACGTTACACCGGAACGAAAATCCCGTACCAAAAGCATATAGAAGAAAAGAGTTAAGATCCCCAGGAAAGATTATTAGGACCACAGCTTCGTTCTGTTAGATGTGACAGCCGGATGAGCACGAATTTCTGGACGCGACCATTTCGCGCTGGACCTTATATGGCAATAATTTATAATGATTGATTAGGCCAATATATACATATAAAATGCACTAAAAATTAGTTTCTGTTTTCTGTAGTATATTTCGTTTGATCTTGGGTACCAAAAGAACGTAAGTGCAAGAACGAATCTGTTGGTCTGCTTCAGTGATGAAGAATGAACACGTTTGCTAAACAAACTAGAAAAGCACTAGTTTAACTGGTGTCAAACAGGCAGACCAACAGAAAAAGAGGTGGAGAAAACATACCTTCCCGACTGAGGTAATTAGCATCAAAAATTCTAAAACTCAAACATAACCACTTTGTTTTATCTTTTTTTAATTTCAAAAAGAAATCCAATATCCACAGGCCCGTAGCCAGCAATTTCAAAGGGGGGAGGGGGGGGGGAGGTCTTCTTTCTGAAAAGGTGGACCTATACTATGAAAGCGTCATGTGCCTAGATCAATTTAGCCAGAGCGGACCGGATCTCCCCCCTTGAAGTAGTCAACTAAGCTAAAGCTTTCTTTCTTCGATTTAAGACCACCTTTCACATTCTTTTTTTCTTTAAATCATATTAGCCCCTGCATGTGATTAACATCGTTGATACGGAGTCTTTACAGCCTTATTTTTATAACGACATACAATTTCTGTATGAAAACTATTTTATTTCATCATTATCATCAACGTTATTATTATATCCGGTGTAGTTTATTTCATCATTATCATCATCAATGTTATTATCATATCTGGTGTCATTTCATGATTTTGTCGCTGAGAGTGGTCCTATTGCACAAAATGTCCCAATTACCTCATAACTGTGAAGTAGAAAGTTTTTTAATCAAGCAAAGTGTCCAAGCAACCTTGCAATTACAAGTCATAAGCGCAAAAATACATATTTAAAAATTATAAATATATTTTTAATTCTTTCCTGTCATTATTATCGTTTTATCAATAAAAAAGTGAAAAAACCATGAAAAGAAAAAAAAAGAAACTTATATAAAAATATGATACAATAATCCTTTCTACATGTACTTTGTCTTTACAATACACATAAACTGTAAAATAAAACATTACATTCTTATATCAAAATATTTTATATCTTTTTCCTATATATCTTATTCGATTTTGAAATCATTTTAATCATTTAGCAGTGATTTTCCAATGCACGGTTTTTCATTGCCAGATTAAACGTTCATTGTTAACAAACCTATTTAGCATTGTAAAATTAATATAAACTGTACACTGAAATATTTCGATTTGATTTTTTGTTTTACAAATTAGTGGAGCCATACATCTATCAACAATTTATTTATTTATTTATTTATTTATTTATTCGCAAGCAGTGTTGACAATGTAAATTTGGAGCGATGGGTTTCTCACCCCGACCTACGAGTTGCAGAGACACACGTGACCTTAGCTTCCCTACGCCAGGACTCAATGAATTACTGCATTACGATGCAAATGGTAAGTATCTAACATCGCGAATAATTTTCCAGTGTGTGTCTCCAGCGAGTGTCAGTTGAGAGGCGTAGAAGGTGTGGGGTTAAATCATCGGCTACCTTGGGGTTAGCGGTTCCACCACAGCAAACTGCATCACCCCGGCGTCCACTCCTCCCGTGCTTATGACGTAACTGTCGTCAAACAGAAAACCCACTGACGTCACGTTGGACGAATAGTGCTTCTTTTCGTAGTACTCAGGCTGAAATGGTAATGTAGTAAGAGAGTGTTTCAAGTTTTACGTGATGAAATGTAGTTGAAATAAGTTTGTTCACATTTTTTGAAAAATATTTTCAGACGGTACTGCTTGAACGGCTACGTATTAAGAGGCTGATACGATCTCGGTACAAGTCCGTAGTCAAATTATTCGTTTAACTATCCTTCAGAAGCAAAGAAATCTAAACTCAATTTTCCTTGTGGGAAAGTGCACTCTTTATTAGTCGAAACTTTTCAATTCTAATATATATCGTTCAGGTTCTTAAATATACAAAGTAGAGGCATATACTATAAACTTCAAAGTAGAGGCATTTCTGGACAACATACCTTGTGCGCAGCACATGGATATTTGTAGAGCCTAACTGCGCCCTCTGTATCTCCGACAGCTAAATAGTCCCTGTAGTGGGAACGCGCCGTGCAGCTAAGGTCCTCCCCCTCCACGAGGTTGGACCAAGCACCTTAAAGGAAAAGTAGGTGAATTATTTGTGTCAAAATATCTGTAAAAAGTATATTTGACCGATAAGTAGTATCTGTATTGAAGAAATCCTGTGAAAGGCATTGAAACGGCATTTCCATCATTTGTAGATAAAAACGACGTCAAAGTAGGCTATTTTGGGTGATGCCAGTGAATTTTGTTCACAAGTTCGGAACTTTAAGAATGATGAAGATGACCAGTTTATTTTTATTTTTTGGACTCTGCAGGTTATAATAACGCCAAATAACCAAATAATTACGAAGCTGATTCCATTTTACAAATCATCTGTATTCGTGACCATATGTTTGATAATTTCTAGCGTGTAGATATGAAGACTTAACGCTAACAAAACAATTGGCAATTCTTTAGAAGAGATCCTGGTTCTTTAAATGACCATGTTCGCACCTATGACATGGTATCCCAGAATGCAGTTGTGCGTGTGCCAGTCTACGTCACGCAGACTTTTGGCCGGTTTTTCTTGCTGCATAGAATTAACATTCCCTGAAAGGAACATTAACAAGTTAGCAATGGAACGCAAAGATAATAATAAATAAGCAATAAGAAATTAAATAAAATAATTGTCACATACACGTATTTTTCAAAATTAAAAGAACTACATATATAATGACAATGTTCAAATAATATGTTAAACGAGTGTCAGCGTGTAAACTATTCAACCATGTCACATTATCGTATATTTTTCCTTGAACCGTGTTTTGAATTTATTAATGTTTTTATTTTCAAGAAACGAGAACGTTTACTCACAGAAAAGGGTGTCGCAATCCCCAGAAACGCTCCTCAGGAAACCGCTGTCACGTGACCAGTCGAGATTCAACACGAAATTTTTATGTCCCTGAATTGTATAAGATATCTAAGTGGTTTTGTAATAAAATGATACACTACAACATGAATAATTAAACAACGCTGGATGTATGCATTTCATGTAATTCTATGTTTTCAGAAACAGTGATGGCGGTACTCTTTTGTTTCAAAGCCCACACAATTAAATTGAATTAAAGAATGAGCTCGTAACCAAGAAAACGAACGGTGGGTTGATCCGAAGTTCATTTACGTCAGTCTTTAATAAAACATGTGTGAGGGTTTTTTTTTACCCCTAACGGTTATCTTACTAATGATGGAAAACCAAAAAGAAAGATGCTGAAAAAATCCTTTCACTGACGTACTGAAATACGAAAAACTGACATAAGTAAGATGATCACATCAAACTTATGTCGATATCAGTCTGCAACGTTGATGTCAGCCGAAAATGTTGAAGTTAGCTTATTTTATGTCAAATGAAATTACCCTCAGAAAACCCTGGCCGTGTCTCCGGTATGATCGCCTCTTCTCCAGAACATCAAACACGTATATCGTGTTGTCATGGCAACCAATAGCCAGCATGGCACCATCTGAAATACGAAAATACAATAAAGAAGAAACTCGTTTTCATTACATACCGTTCAAATGATATTTCATAACTATTGAGAGAGAGAGAGAGAGAGAGAGAGAGAGAGAGAGCACTCTTGCATCTTTCGATCAAAGAAATTTTAGATGAGAAACAAAAATTCACATGCACACTAAAGAAGTAAAACCATTTAGATGAATATAAGTCTTAAAATTGTGTCAGTTTTATTTTGTGATTGTTTATAAAAATAACAAAGAAAACAGGTAAACTTTGTTACCGTTTCAACTATATCTACAAACCTGGGGAGTACTGCACGGTCTGTATCTTCTCGTGAGAAGCGTTGAAGGAGGCGAGCTGGCTGCCATTGTTAGCGTTCAGCACGATCACCTGTCCCGTCTCTGTCCCAATAACAACGGTGTGACCCTCAGGGTGATACGCTATGGAAAACAATTATTTTAATGATATATACACCGACACAGGAGGGCGTTAGTGGAAATAAATAAATAAATAAATAAATAAATAAATAAATAAATAGGCATGGCTATACGTATACATGTAAATCAGATTGTGACAGGCAAAAAGTTGTTAGTGTGTTACTATACTGCATAATGATGTATACACATTTAATGAAATCGAACGGAAGAAAAGCTTTTTTTTAGATTAAAATGTCTTAGCCAGTTATTTTAAAATTTTCGAGCTTTTTATAACAGGGATTTGAAATGAAAAAAGCCATTAGCAACCCTGCTTACACAAAACGTTTTGATGAGATTACAATAACGTCATATATTGATTAGTAACATTGTGATGACGTTACAAATAACGTTCTGGATTAGCTGGGAACATACATGTACATGCTCTGTATATTAAAAGAAATAGAACCTGGATACATGTCTAATCTCGATAATACAGTGATTAGCGTGTACGGTTTGAATGCACTAATTGCCACGTCATTGCCCTTTGTGTGTTCAGAGTTTCTTAGAAATTCACTCCTCTGCCATCTACATGCATTTGCAGTTCGCAGTATCAGATCTGTATTCTGACAGGGGAGGGACAAGTTTCCAGGAATCACTTAAACTTGAGGTGCAATGCTTCAAGGTACTCTAGAAGAGGTTTGGCAACCAAAATGAAATTTCCTCGGGAAAAAAATCCCCCCACACACGAATCAGTGCTCGACCCTACCCTGAACATAAATTCGATGTTTTATTCCATTTTGATTCCAGTGTTTTAATTTTAAATGACTGTCCAGTTATTTAGAACGTTTTCCTGTAGATACTATCGACGTAGGTAGTTTTATTTAAGAGGTTTTATAGTTTATAAGTTCTGAATTGGGAAATATTATAGTAGTTTTGCACGATACGTAGACACAGAATGTGTGACTTTGGGGAATTTTAAAACGCGTACAGTGTACCTTTTAGACTAATATGTGTCTCCAGTGGCGCTTCCCTTTAATTCCAAATAGACCTACGGCCCCATAAATGGATGGGTCTTTAACCCCCCTTTGCACTGGACGGCGTCCTTTCTTTGTCCCGTAGAACGGCCCTGTTTAGTTTGAGAGTTAAAAAATAATACTTAACGTGCCGACAACTGGCCGATCAATGAGCATTCATTCTGCACCCAAAGCGATGCTTGTGCCTCCTTTCTACAACCACAGCAATGCCAGTTTCATGGGCGCCAAATACAAAGGGCGCAGACAGGACGCCGTCCAGTGTAAAGGGGATTTTAATAAGACCTACCTGAGGCCCAGCAAGCACTGTCCACGTAGACCTTCCACAGCATTTTATGGCTGACCGCTGACCACTTGCAGACCATCATGTCGTGGCCGGCGGTGACGAACGCGTGCTCTGACGGGGATATGGCCGCCGTCCACACCTCTTCCACGTGCCCCTGGTTAATTTATGGCAAATTAGTTAAACTGTGTGAAAAACCGATGTAAATATGCGTGATATTTACTATATAAAAGCCAAGTAAAGAGAAAGGGAAAAAACGTTACATCTTGAAGGGCTGTGACCTATGACCACCATCTTTATTCGAAACGCCCCTGGTAAATTTTGCGGAAATATATAAAAGTCTATCGTAAATTGATTTAAGTATTCGATAACTTATATCTAAGCCAGTAGCCTGGGATCAAGAAAGGAAACAAACAACCACAATGTAAGAGCCCGGATGTGACCCGGATGTGACTTCTCGCTTGGATCCTGACAGCAAGACAGAAATAAAAACCCAGACCAATAAGTTGCTTTCTTTAACATTATTTTTACATTTTTTTTTCAGATAAAAATACCAGATGCCCACATCTTTTTTAAAACACACCTGTACAACGGCTCTGAACTTATGCTGCAGCGACCCCTCTAGGACGATATTCTTCGTGGTTCCAACAAACAACGTGTCGTCTGCTGTCAGCAGGCTCTGGGGGACCAGCGTCCGGACATAACCAGCGCTTTCTGGGATCTAAATTTAAAAAAGTGATAATTATTCATACAGCAGAAGTTAATACAGCAGAAATGCGGTTGATAGGAAATTTCAAGAATATGTTCATGACGGTATTCCGGGATTGGCGCCCGTGAACGTGGTGGGATTATCACATAAAGTCTGAAGCATTTTAATGAACTAATTGTGTAAAAGTCACAGAAATAATATGGTGGAACATAATTTGCCCCATTTCTCAATAATTGTGTTCATGTATACTATCCTGTTACATGTAATCACGCTGGTTTTCTTTTTAACTAGTTCAAAAATAAGAAAGAATAAAAAATAAATGTAAAGGAAAGAAAAAGGAAAGAAAAAGGAAAGAAAAAATACTTGATTAATTATAATCACATTGTAAATGTATGTATTAGGTTGAACGGTCGGAGAAAACCATTTTTTAATGTAAATTGTATTAGTTCTTTATGAGCAACATAAGTTACGTTCAGTGCGCGCTGTCAGCCATACACAAAACCACAGAAGAGCCTAAAAGCTCAATGAAGATTGTCATATGGAATCCCACAGTCCCGTATAACGAATCCATTCCATTCGGTCAATATCGGGTAATTCCGTATTTGTGACGTCACACAAAATCTGTAAGTGCTGCCATCTGCACTTTGTCCGGATGAAGTCTTACCGTCCTGTCCCTGATGTTTCTGTACTTGTCACTGGAGTCCCAGGCTTTGATTTCGTCGCCGGCACCCGACAGTAAAGTACCGTCTTCAAGCATGCACAGGGCAAACACCGTCTTCTACAAATGTAAAGTACCAAAATACATAAAGTGAGAAGTAAAATTAATATTTTTAATGAAATTGATTCTACGAAATTTGAAATACAAAGAATTAAGCACAACTATAAGTAATCAATTTTATGGATATATGTTTTGCCGTAAGTCATTATTTGTTTAGCTTTATATAATACCACCAGGTTCACAATAATGATAGTAGCCCTACCCTGTGAGCGCGTCGCATACTTTCGGAGCACCGTGTGTTTATGACGTATGCGTCAGCTGAGTCACGTGACCACACCAGAATGCGACCACTGGAATCGCCAGTAATGACGTCACCATTGGCAGAAAACGCTATGGCGGTCACAAACTTGGGAGGGTCTTCCTGATGAGTTGAATCAAATTATCATTTTTAATATTATATATACGGGATGTAGAATGTGACATACAATATACAGGGAATATGAGAAAATGGAGGAGGAGGAGTTAGACTAAATTAAATACTCATCTCGCTTTGGCGTTGGATTAATGCTATCAGAGATGGACGACAATAAACGCTAAAACACAGGTGTGTGGCGAAGATTTATCTTCATTTACACAGTGCTATACAAAAAAAAAGGCCTTGCCGAGATTCGAACTCAGGATCTCCTGTTTACTAGACAGGCGCTTTAACCAACTAAGCCACAAGGCCACTACGTCAGCAAATTAAAACACCGTGCAAACAAGGATCGAAATCATGTTGTCTTTTTTATATACATATTTAACAAAGAAAAAGCTCTAGATTCTACCCTACTTATAAGAATCAATTCAAGTGAGGACCATTTTACTATATGATAAAAAGCTAATATATATATATATATATATATATATATATATATAGAGAGAGAGAGAGAGAGAGAGAGAGAGAGAGATTGTCTATCATTTGTACTTACTTTAAAGAAACCACTTTTCTTGTCTCTGAGGATCTTGGCAGTTTTGGACCGACTGTCCCAGAATATTTTCCAGAAGTGGATATGTTCCTCACCGTACGTCACAAGAGTCGTGTCGTCTTGCGGGTGGAAACAGCCCCATATTACCGTCTCTATGGACGTCTGAAATGGGACTCGCAGAGTAAGTAAGGTGACTTTCCGGCAGCACTGTAGATATTAGATTCAAACTGCATTCAAGCATGCAGATTTACTGTTTATATACTGTATAGTTTACTTGGTATAATATCTCATTATCATTTTTTTATTCTTACAGTTTTAAGTGAAAACACTAAGAGATGTTAAAAACGTCAAAACGTCATTTTGGTAACAATTCTAAATGCATTTGGAACATCTTTTTAAAGGATGGCTTTATATTTAATTTAATTTAAAATATTGTCTTTACGACGGAAATGAATATATTAATATTAAAGATGTAAATCCCATTATCGCAAATCTTTAAAAAGCTTATCAAAAAAAAAATATATATATATCAGTGTACACAAAATAAAGATATATATTTGCAATATCATTTAAGATATATAAATGATTCATCGGATGCTCGAATTTTCTTGCTGCGACGAAGGCAATAAGCAGTCGTGGCCGAGTGGTTAAGGCGACAGACTAGAAATCTGTTGGGGTCTCCCCGCACAGGTTCGAATCCTGTCGACTGCGTACCTTTTTCCCTGCTTTTGATTTTTTTCTTTCTACATAAGCAGTTTAGTCAGCGACGCATACGTACGACATATGTGAAAAATTTGCCTCTACTTTAAACTTACGATTTCAGAATGACAATGATTTCAGATTGATATCGGACATTATAGACAAAGAAGTTGTTGTATTAAAATACATACAAAAGCTGATATAAACCAGAAAGGAACAATTCAGTTTATTATTATTATTATTATTATTATTATTTATAGATGGAAAGCAGCAAACACTCAAAAAGGCACCAAAGCAACTTCGATGAAAAAGAGACACCATAAATTGAAAAAAAAAAGTTGAATGACGATATCAGGTTCAAATGGTTAAACATTTGACATAAACAGATTATCAAAACACAAGTAAAAAATATATCTAAGGATTTGCTCGCAATGAATCTATCGTACTAGCTACTGCGCACTTACTCCATGGGGACTCTCGCTGAATGCTACCAGATTACGCATGAACACTACCCCTCTTGTTTCCAACGTTGTCGTATTTATAATCGACAGCTCTTCTGTATGCTACTCTAAACCAGGAGGGGGCGTGGTCATATGTTAATCTGAATGCATTCAGCGAGAGTCCCCGTGGAGTTTGTGTGCAGCAGCTAGTGCGACAGATTCATTGTGAACCCACCCTATGACGTAAAAGCGTGCACACATCTGCATAGAAAACACACCGGACAAGTAAGAATATTTAAGCATGCATGTGAAATACTTACATCCTCTTCGTCATCCAAAGAATGCTTTGGGGCGTTTGTAAGCTATAAGTGAGATATCAAATCAGTACTCGGATATTATCATTGGGTCAATCTACTATATTGGAATATGCGCGTGTGGGCGTGCAAGCATGCATGAGAACTTGTGTGCATGTTTGTGTCAAGTACGATTTCATGCAAATTCCATTACAGTGCAAATAATTATTCTTTATTTTGATTCTTAGAGTGCGTTTAGTCATCACCTGTGCTGCCGTCATCAGCAATTTAGGGTTTAACTCCAAACGGAATAATCATGTTGATACGTATAAGAAGCCGTCTTTATTCACAGAAAAGGTTCGTTGGTTATTGTAATTCTTACCTAGATTTAGCTACTTTTTATCGATCTTTTAGCCAATCTTTGACGTAGTCAATTCTTATCGTTGCTTTAGCCAATTTTTAACGAATTTTAGCAAATTCTTGACGTAATTGAGGTAGTTTGTAACATCGTTTTAGGTAACTCTTACCGTAGTTTTAGCCAGCATCTTTTCGTCTTGCCAGTTCCACACGCTCATCACGTGACGCTCTCCTTCGTCTATAGCCATTAGGTACTCGCCCTCGCTCTACGGGAACGAAAATAGAATGAGGATTTCGCGGTGTAAAATTGAAACATAAAAATCTATAAACGCTACGGGCAAAACATGAATTTTCAATGGAGTACAGATGAAACGAATCCACAGCACACCACGTTCACGAAAAAGTACATAAATATCATAAGGTTGTCTTTCTAAATAATGAAGCTAGTAGTTTGAAAAATATAATGGAATAATAACATCTTTAAAGGCCAAAATGCAAAGGCGTTTTTATTTATTGTAACATATTAATTGTATATATATTACCTTATTCTTTGATTACACCTTTATTTATGCTTTCCAAAATTTTATTTTTATTCTGTTTAATGTGAAATGTCATTTGTATCTTTTTCGAAGGCCCTTCATTTGTAAGAACAAAATAGTCAGTATGTGATCATTATTGCAATAGGTGTGCTGACAAAGCACATCCACTACACTTCATTTGCACAAGGACCTTGATTTGCATAAAGGAACAGTTTTTGGTGGTCAGACCCTTAGCTGTGTGCCAGTTGAAGTAACGTTGTAGAAGAATGCAATTTTCCAGAGTAATACAGTGGCAGAATCTGGTGTGAATTGTAATTCACATCAGATCAACTTAAAAGTGTCCTGAATATACTGAAAATAAAGGAATGTCCGTTGAGATTTGCTTCTTTTTATTCTGTGACCCCGATGAGCTGCAACATTATAATTCTTTTTTTCAGGAAATTAATCAATGGTCTTACCTCCGCTGAAAAATCAAGAGAGCTCAACCCCACTTGGAAAACACCTAAACCAATAATAGCATAGGTCGAAAGGGAACGCACGTCCCAGACGCGAATGTGAGCCTGAAATAATAGCAAAATGTATCAAAATTAAAAACGGTGGAGATACAGAATGGCTTCAAAAAAGTTCATCTTCATATTGAGGTTTACACAGTTTTAGCTATATAGATATTATGTCCAGATGTCAAGGTCTTTTTTATTCCCTGTGCTGCTTTTCAACACCAATGGATGTTTGAACATTGAATTGAAATCAAATAGAGAAATGTTTAGTATATGCTTTGAAGTTAGGAAATGTATTAGAAATGGCAAAGCATTGAATCCCATATCTGAATAACCACCTCACATAAACACGAAGGGGCAATTAAGAAATTTAAATCTACGCAATTTATTTTTTTATTTTTTTATTTTTTAATTTATGTTAGAAAATATTTAGTGTAAACATACCGCCGTGTCAGCCGTCTCGCCTGCTAGCTGTGCAGTTGCCACGTATGTCTCGTTTGGATGAAGCGCCATGCTGAAATTTGATAAAAGTTATACAGACATACACAACTGTGAATTGTTTTCTTTAAATTTCCACAGCTGACAAATCTACACTCTTGGTTTTAAATATACATGAAGTTTATCTGTCGTCACACTAACCTAGAAATGTCTTCGTTGTGTCCGGTATAATGTCGCTGTAATTCTCTTTGTTTGTCGTAAACTATGGCGACGGCCGCGACATAATACAGCAGCTCGTTGCTGGGCAACACGTACAGATTATTACGGGCGTCATGACCACGGTACCCGTAACTTAACAACCAGTTAAGGATAAAATGACCATATATGGAAACGGTGTTCTTATAAACATTTAATCGCTTTATTTAGTTTCTACTACATTCTTCATGCCATGGATGAAAATGCAAGGAGAATGTTGCCAAAATGCTCCCACTATCAATTCGGAGACATTCTCGCAGTACTCCTCACCTACAAAATGATCCTCAGAGCGTGGTTTCAAGAAATTTAGTTTAAAAAAACTTTGAGATGACCGATTAAAATGACCACCAAAGCGTTTTGTGGGTTCGTTGTATGGCATGCACCCCCCCCCCCCTCCACATACACACCAACACACGTTCTGTCAAACAAACACACACACGCACACGCACACACACACACACACAGAGAGAGAGAGAGAGAGGGGGGGGGGGGCTCTGTCATAGTTTCCTTCGGCAAAAAAGGATACACCCAGTCCAATTTGAGTTTTTTGTCGGGACGCTCCCCGTCGTCGATGTTACCATCACTCAATGTTGGCGGATAAAACTCTGGAAAGACATAAACGACTATAGCTAGCAAAGCACTCGGAGAGGGCAGACCTCCGCCAAGGCTGCTCAATTTTTGTTATTATTAAATAATCATTTACCAACTAATAAATAAGCTAAATTCTCATAGATAATTGATAAACTACAATATTTGTTGGAGTTGAAAGCTAAAATGATCAAATTGGCAATGGTGAAGAATTGAAGAATCCCATGAAAAGTCCAGATGGTGATCGGGATCACTACCAAAAATGTCATCACTTTTAAGACAGCTCATTTCTGAATTATTTAATCAAAATCTACTCATATTTTTAGATAGGCTGGTGAAAAGCAGAAGAACAAACAAATAGTCAAATAGAGGTTAATACATTTCCTCCACCCTTATCGGAGGCAAATCGATGTCGACGTCAAATCCTTACACTTCACACAGGTTGGTGGATGTGACATAAAATACAGGGTGGTCCATAAAAAAACGACCTATTTTGAATTGAGATGGATAGTAAAATAGGTCGTTTTTTATGGACCACCCTGTAACTTAATTTAAACCCTCTTAAACCCTCTATTCAAAGAGCTTGTTTTTTAAATGAATAAATCTGATGATATAGACAGTTACATAGTCTGAAGAACGCTCACCTCTTCGGCGTCCGTGGATGTCCACCTTGATGACATCCACCGAGTGGTCAAGTCGTTTACCTAGACGCTGCGTTTTCTTCTTTCCGACACCTAGAATAACAGTTTTCAGTTTTGATTTTAAATGACGGTGGCTTTTAAACTAAACAGCCTTGTCAAACAGATACATATGCTTCTTTGTAAAGCCACATCGAGTCGACATTTACACTTTAAGTCTCATTCACTGGGTTCCCATGCTTAGATTGACCCATCTGGATCGGTATAACTCCCTGGGGAGTCTCACTAAATTGTTCTCAACTTAAACGGCTTAAATGTCTGTCATGCCTACCGAATCAACTAGAGGGTAAAGATACTAACACCTAACTAGCTTTACTAGGCGTGACAGACATTTAAAGTCGGTTAAGTTGATAGCAATTTAGTGAGACTCACCAGGGAGATAGATCGATCCAAATGTCTGTGGGAATGGTCCCTATAAGCTTTTTCGTACCTTCAGGCTTGGAAAACTGGGGCGTGACAGACCTCCCTGCCTTGATGATGGCCTTTGTCCTGGGCTTGGGTATCCTACATCTGGTGGCTATGTTGGGGTGGCTGTTTCCCCGGGCTGGCTGAGGGGTGACAGGTGACACAGAGCGAACGAAACTGGGGTTGCTCTCGTAATCTGAAGTACAGAATAGGTTGGCTACACACGCATATACACACGCACAACACACACACATTTGTGCGAGCGCGTGCTCTCACACCCACCCACTCACCCCCCTTCCCACACACACACACACACAGACAGAGAAAACCCTCCTCTTATAGCTTTAGAAAACACTTAAAACACTATAACTAGTAAATATAACTCCCATTTGAACTGCAGGGACTTAAATTCCATGGGCACTCATAATTGTTAAATGTATAAACTAAATCGCATTGAACAATTTTAAAGAAGTTGGTAGAATCGATATTTTAATCACTGGATTATTCTTTTATGTTTTAAGTGGGCATAATATCGTAATGCGTTTAAGTTACTTTTATCTTTCACTCTTTTATAGTGCATGTACAATTTAATTTTCAGTTGCAAGAACAGATATTATTATTATTATTATTATTATTATTATTATTATTATTATTATTACCTGGGATATTTGGTCTTCGTATTTTCTTGGGTTTCCTGAGGGCCGCCTGCCCCGTGATGAGCGAGTCGTTACTCGAGTTACTACTGGGTGCTTCCCGCTTGCTGAACGCGTTCGTCAACATTTCTTTGGGCCTCCCCTCACGCCCACATGCAATAAACAGGTCGTGGTCCTTAAAGTCCCTGTGGAGCTGGGAGAAACTTTGGACCTATGAACGAGAATATGAAATAATCTTTTTTTTTTTTTTTTGCATTCCAACAAAGGAAAACATTAAGTAATAGCACAATGATAAAATACTGATAACTATCTGACACAATGCATTCTTTTTATGATCAATTCTTTGTTTTCAATGGACACAGTATTGTGTACATACTGTATATAAATACGTATTCATTTGCCCTTTTCCGCCTTATAAGAGGAGGTGACCTGGTCGATTTCGTGATCAATTATATAAATAGCCACTATTCCACGTGTTTCTACAGAAAACAGCTTCTTTGTTTTGATGTAATTTCATCGGTGCTAGAAATATAACGCTTATGGCGTTTACCTATAATTGGTTATATAAAGTAAATATAGAGAGTCACTCGTGAAGTTTTCAATTGACACTACAATATGATTCTCCCTGACAACTCTGTATTATTTATTTGACCGAATTTCAACGACGGTGGACTCGGTGTGCAAATACGTTATTTTTGTCGTTGAATCGGAAATTTGAGAACATTTTACCAGCGTTTTTTATTTAATCATCAAACAAGATTTCTTTAGAAACTCAAGTGCCTTCAGTAAATTAATTGAAAAGATGTTTTGCGCTGACACTACAAAAGAAAAATACGGATATTCGTAATCCAAGAATACAACGGTAAATATGTTATTCGCTGGCTATTTGTCGGCAGCGTAATCAATCTTGAAAGACTTGACGTAACAAGTGAAAAAAAAGGAATAAAAAATAAAATAAAGATAAAAATAACGTAATACGTCATTCTTCATCTTCTTTTGCTTCTTCTTCTTCTTCTTCTTCTTCTTATAATTATTATTATTATTATTATCATTTTTTAAAAATAATATCCTCTTTACAGCTCCTACCTCAAGAGAAAGTACAAAGAAGGTAAGGTTTACTTCACCCTTCACTGAATTTACTTACTCTTATGCTGATAGGCACCTACCGCAACTGGTTCAATCAGATGGAAGGAAAATAAGGGCACGTGTACTCGAGGTTTCTTTTTTTCTTTCTTTTTTTTTTTATGAAAATAAGAGTTTTTGCACCAAAGCTTTTTATTTGAGAATATATTAAAGCCCAGTCTCCGAAGGGGACCCATTGGAAACGAAAGGTCAAGATCAACCATTGTTTTTAGATGTTGCCGTCAGGGGCGGATATTATACTATTAATATTAAGCGCAGACAGCTTGACAGACTGAAAAATTTGCAGATTCAGTGTGTAAGAAATTGTTAATAATTAGCCAACAGACACCCTGGGACAAAATGTGCAGTGTGCCTTTAACTGTTACCGTTCAATGGGGTTGGTATAAATAAAACCTCGAAACTCGGGGCGCCATTTGTGGAAATCGAAATGGATATTACGTTTACGTGAAAGAGACTGCAATGAGCGCTTGGGTCATTTTAGAATATCAAAAGGCCCTTGTTGCCGAAACGGAAAGGGTTGAAGCGTTTTGTAAACAACATTTTGCCTGCTAAACGGTATTTGAAGCTTCCCTCAACTCCACAAGGGTGACATAAAGAAAGATGTTTACATATTTCTTACAATAATTCCATCCAACGAGAGATAAGAAAAGAAAAAAAACTCGTAACAAAGATTATGTGAATATTTGGGTTGGTCCATTGCTGACTTATGCTTGGTTTACGCTATTTATCGGGATAGAGCTGAATATATTTTCACAAAATTCACAATGAAGCGGATTTTGATTTTCGTTCGAAACTTTTCCTTTGTGTGTATTGTGAAAAAAAATCATCATATGCATGTATCTAAAACGCTGCGCAACTTAACGTGATTTCTTAATCAAACTAGCGGATCACCTACAACGAGATCAAGCACATTCAAGTTCAATTAGCTATGGGCGTATCTGTTGTAGTTGTAGCAGAGGCTAATAGAAATAACGTTCGTGGCATAATTTCCATATAATAACACTTTTTTGCGACAAAGGGTTTTTAAATAGTTCCACGACAATTGCGGGTTATTAATCCAACGGTAGTAATTGGCAGTTATACCACGTTTAAAATGGTTTGTCCACTTGTTACTTTTGTTCTGACCTTTCACGAAAGCGTAAAATTATTGACCAATCTGTATATGGAGAACTTTGAAGAAGCCGTATTGGGAGACCATGCCCAAACCTCCTCGACTTTGGTTGAGATATGTAGATACCACAGAGACCACGTGACCGCTATCTCCGACTATATCAACATCCAAGACCGTAACATCACGTTCACAAGGGAGCTGGAGGAAAACAATTCTACTGCATTCAGAACAGCGGACAAACTGATCCGCGGATCAAATATGGCCACCGACTTAAAAGCTTGCCGCTTGACACTGAATAGATTCCCCGCGGGGATTACGCAACAAACATTCAAAAAGGTCTGCTATATTTGATCCGCGGATCTGTTAGTCCACTGTTCTGAATGCTCTCTTACAAGTGAAAGTGAAAATGAAAGTGATGGCCTTTCGAGCCTGAAAATCTACAGCAGGCCCGTAGCCAGGGGGGGGGGGGGTTCGGGGGGTTCGAAAGAACCGCCCCTTTTGGTGGAAAAAGGTCCACTCTTGGTAAAATTTGATCTGGGTTCATTAAGTTTTTATGGAAAAAGGTCCACTTTTTCAGAAAAAGAACCCCCCTTTTGAAATTGCTGGCTACGGGCCTGTTCAGGATGGCCACACATATTAACCAATACTTCAACCTCCGCAATTTGGACACCTACCTTCCTAAAAGGTTCCTTGGCCGTATAAAGGCTGGTCACCGGTGGTTTTAGCAGCTTGAGCATTGCAGTAATGTCCTCCAACATCTCTTCGAAAGTTTGATTCGTTTTCGGGTTCAGGATCACCTTTTCTATGCTATTCCTGTGCGTGTTGCTCATAATGGACAATATACGAGGCGAAGCGTTTGATGTCGACAAAACATCTCCGTTTTCACCAAGAAATAATTGCTTTTCGTGTTTGCGAAATTTCCCTGCCGATGGCTTACGGTTATTCCAGTATTGTTCTTTAGAATTGCCGTATTGAACGTTGAGACGTATTTTCTTATCGTTTGAAACAACGTAATCTTTACCACCAACGAAATCCTTAACGTCCGTTATCTCTCTCCCCTCGGGGAGGCTAAACACATGCCGAACTCCCTTCGTTAGGGGAATCTTTTCCGTCAACCAAGATAATAAAGTTTCGAAAGACACAAAGCACTTCTGGCTGACAGCCGTTTGAATACCTTTAAAATGTGGGTCGTCGTTACGGTAAAAAGTCACAAGCCTGCCGCGCTTACTGAACTTCTTGTGCCCATGTCCCTTATTCGGGCCCGTGTCCTTAGCCTCCCGTAGCTTAGAGGCCTCAAAGCGACCGGCGTCCTCGTAGGGGCGAGTGAGGGCCTTGTTGCGGGAGAGATGCGGATTGGGGTAAATCTCGTAATCCATCTCGTCGTGATCAGAGACCATGTCGTCCTCGTCCTCATAGTCCGAGGCGTTGCCCTCCACTGGCACCCCGCCTACTAACTGGCGTCGGTTGAGGTAGTTCTGGAATATGTGAAATATTATATTTTGTTAAGGGCAAAGTAGGAGGTGTGCGTGTGTGTGTGTGTGTGTGCGTGTGTGTGCGCGCGCGCTTGTGGGGATGAGGAGGTCGGTGGATTTGGTGATCAGATATTGTACCTTTGTCTTTGTCAACTTAACATTTAACATTCATTCAAAGCACTGTACATGAGAGTGGTTTGGGTCTTTTTAAAAATAGTTTTAATCGAGAAATCTTAGGGTATCACCCCTGCACTATGCAGCGAAGAACAATACATCAAATCCGCACCCACTCTGGGTAAAATTGGTATCTAGGTACACGAAAGTTTCATGGTAAAAAGTCCACTTTTGCAGAAAAAGCCCCCCCCCCTTTTGAAATCGCTGGCTACGGGCCTGAGAGGCATACTGACATCAGAGAATTGGGTTTTCAGAGTCCTGTGAAAATCTGGGTTGATATTCTATACATAACATTTCATATTTTTGAACTTATTGGCATGGGCGTGGCTTCGGGAAATACCGCCTATGTTAAGCACTAAAAAAGGACACTCCTGTTAAAACAGCTTTGGAAAATTTTAAAGGCAACTTTACCTTAAAAAAAGCTTAAAAATGAAGGACATATTTGTTAATCTTTCTATTAACAAGTAGCAGCACTACAGGAAAATTACAATTTTTAAAAGTTTTGTGAAAATCATCAGTAAGTGTCTCTAAAGGCACGGTGCTTGTCATCCCCTACCGACGCTACTTTTAGTCAAAAATTAGTTTTCAACTGTTATTCTTAATTGGTTTTTCTTTGCACGATTCAAGCTACCTGCCGTAAGGGACTTTGCTTACAATAAACATACTAAAATGTCGATCTATGCCGTTTGTTAAAAATCTATTCAAAACTAAAAGAAGCAAAACTTAAAAAGCAAATCATAGGTAGAGTAGCATCAGGCAGGTCTGCAATTGAAGTTCAGTGCAATCTTTTCAGTAATTTTGATGAAATGTCATTTGTCCTTAATGCTGGTGATGTCATTTCTGGGTCATTCGTCACAGCTCGTATACGGCTTTTGTATATTAGCGCCAGCTAAGGCGTTCAATAATGAGAGCACTAAATAATTTAGTGTCGTTTGTTTTTCAAACCTGTCGCGGGACCTTATAACATCACATGGAATTAGTTGGGGGGGGGGGGGGTTAAAAACGCTCTTTTTATCGGAAAAGGTCCAATTTTAATCAAAATTTAGCTCAACTAAAAAAAAATATGAAAAGGCCCGTTTCATTATTATTTTTTTATTATTTTTTTTCAGAAATGGAACCTCTTTGAAATAGTTGACTACAGGCCAGTGAAAACTTCTGAAAAGAAATCCATATGAATGACTCTAGGATATGTTGCAAACGGCGAGGAGATCAGTGCATTCAATATCAACCTGACAAGTTCACGAAAATAGCGGTTTTCCCCGTGGGATTATTATGCAACTTAATCTCCTATTATATCCCAAATTATGGTGGCTAGATGACAACACTTGGATTTAAAGGTTTTAACAACAAACCCGCGTTCAGCGCCTTTAAAGTAAAACCATAGCGGAAGCACCACTTAGAGAGAAAGCATGATATAAATTATACAATATATAGGTAACACAGCGTGGATCGGATTATAAAGTGAGAGAAATACAGCGTCACCCCCATACCTGTACATAGCTGTTGTTGCTACCTCGGCCATGATACGTCCCGTGCGCCATCATGAAAATATGTCGCAGCTATTCTCCAGACGCTACAATTCAATATTCAGCTACCTCTATCATAATCCGTCTTACTCATTAAGTCAGCCCATCCTTGACGAATGGTGTCGTACATTACTTGTCACTTAAGATGAGCGAAAACACCAGAATATCTCCCCCATAGGCCTACTACGTGATACGCTTAAAGAGCGCAAAATATTCAATACCAATGCAAGGTGTATTCCGGGACGCCTTTTTGAAGATGTAGATCTAATTTGCTCGTTCGATTTCGGATATTTTTTCTACAGAGGTTGGGCTCCCGACGGAACTACCCGATATCGTCATAGCGATCCATTGTTTGCAATATCGAACTGATTCGAGTGTAAATAAATCCAACTACAGGCTTTAGTTACATCCCAAATTTGTATAGCTGGTCCTTTATTGGCAAGACAATCTACCAGTCATGTACTTGTTTCCACTAAACGATACTCGTAAGATTATTGACTATCAAAGCGCCAGGGCCTATTTTCAATTTAGGCCGGGAAAAATCTGTATAACGACAGTGGATGCTTTTAACGACCGATTTTCCAGACAGCGGATCAATATTCTTCTCATCTCTCACACTGTTGAAATTATTTAAGAACCATTTTTATGGATTAAGGGTTAGTATAATGTGTTCATTGGCCTCGATGTCGAGGTGTATTCTGTCTTCAAGTGTTGATCATCAAATAAAACCTATACTAACATAGTATACCATAATGCACCTGACTTCATTTGACCTACTGGTACTGGTACATGAAAAAATGAATTGGGGTGTACTATATTTGTTTTAAGGTAAATTTAAGGCAAAATACTAAAATAACACAGATGTTAATCATTAAACAGAATCTACACCCAAATTGACCCATAAGAGGCCAGGGGCGGATCCAAGACTATTTGAAGGGGGGGGGGGGTCTTCGGATGCGAATCCTACACCCCCTCCCGGTTGGCGTGGGATTTTTGGGGTATTTTAGAGGGTGAACGGTGCTATTTGGTACGTTTTAGTACCAATTCAAAGAGAAGAATATTAGTGTGATTTATTTTCAGAACCCCCCCCCA